TTTGACGGCAAAGAAGCGTTTTCATACCAAGACGAAAGGTGATTTTTCCCTGCAACAATAATAAATGGCGGTAGCGCATATCCGTATGATCCAATGCCTTGAATTACTGTAATCCATTCCCTATTACCTTGCTGTGTCGTACGAGGTCTGCTCTTTTGTTCAGCATTCGTTACAACCATCTCAGATGATATTTGGCCCATTAAAAATCCCGTCTTGTCAAAGTTGTATATGTCCTCCTCGTGAATCCCATATTTAGTAATCATGTTTCGTACAAGTCGAAACCATGCGTTATACGCGTCAGGATCTTCGCATTGAACTCGCTGATAGTCGATCTCTCAATGTCGTACGAGGAAGATTGTAGATTCGCGCAATGTGAGTTACACTTAGTTTTGGGTTTGATTTAAGCACTTGAAGTGCAAGAATCATACTTCTTTCTTCGTACGAAGTTGTCATGTTTAAAAAAAAAGTTATGTAAGTTTAAAGTCAAAAGTATGATGCCAAGAAAAAATTGGCGGTGAGCTTGTGTAGGCGACTCGCTTGTGAACTACGTTACTTAATCCAACAATTAAGGACCATACGACTGTTGCAACACCAGTCCGCAGATATATCCAAAAACTGACAACTGGGACTGAGCAAATTCATGTGCAAAGTATCGTCCACCAACATGATGCCAACAACTTACGGTCTATCATAAAGAAGTGTGCAACCCGTACGAAGGGAAAGAGGGTGGTTTTAAAGGGCCATTTCCATATCTCGACCCAAGAATTATGCGATGCAGTGGTGGAGGCTGAGAATGCTACAAAAAGTCGAGGTAGGAAAACATGAAAGGGAAAGGGAAAGGCAGTTGTGTACATTTCTGATAGTGATTGCGATGATGAAGAAGTGCTTCACGAGGATTCTGAGAGTGATACTGGGTCATGTATTATTGTTGATGTTTAGCTATTTAATTTTCTACGTCGTTCTCCTCTGATATCCGTTGCGTTATGACACCCATTGCATTATGCCACGACTTACGTTAGGCTTAGTGCATAGAGTTTTCCCGTAAACAATTTCCCGTCCGCTTATGCTTTGCTATGACTATTAATAAGTCTCAAGGCCAGTCGTTTAAGCATGTAGGTGTTGATCTATGGGCAGCTATGTTTAGTCATGGGCAATTCTACGTTGCAATGTCGCGGACGTCATCCGTAGCTGGCTTACACGTTCTACTTCCGGAAGGTGACAATACACACACTACACCAAACGTTGTATATCCAGAGGTATTATGTGATATTAATTAGAAATACTATCTATACTACTATTCTACTGCTTACCTTAACTCTATTTACGGGTGGTTATGGGCATTTGCAGGTTTAATCCATAATATGTTTATGGGTTTAAATACCATCCGTAAACATCCGTAATCATCTACGAGTTACTTAGCATAAATAGGATTGCCCTTTCCTTAAGAAAGGGCAAGCAGACAATACAGTAAATCGACTATCACATACTTCCACGTCTTTTCCAAGCTTCCAAGCATTGATCTTGTTACTCCTTGTTTCTGAAAAGTCAGTGAGGTGCTAACCTCTGACTTATCCCTGAGTTCTCAGACTCAACATTTGTACAACTTGTCTAAACCACTCCACTACATCATACACTTGATTGCTGCGTTGTGGAATAGTCTAAGCTACGACCCTTTGGCTCTTTTTCCTAAGACAGTGTGTTGTCTTAGTAAAATCAGCCCTTCCTTGGGTGGCTAGATTCTCACATCTGGTGCACCCACCATTACAGGTGGGCCGTGGCCCAAAGCGCCTCCCGCTCCAGCTAAAAGATCCGCGTCAGTCCCACTGCGCCCGCACGTCGTCGCCTGCTCGTGCAGTCACCTCCCGTGCTCCTCCCACCCACCGCCCCGATGACCCCTACTATGTTGGGAATGAGGAGCACCCCACCCACACCCCCCATGCCTTGATCGAGCGTTTCCAGGTCGCAAGCCCGGCCTCCCATAGGACGCTCCGCCTAGGGAACACCCTTGCTGGGGTGGTGATGGATTTCATCACCGCTACCAATGCTGCCCCTCGCGGAACCTTCTATACGGAGGTCATGACAGGGCCAAGGCCAGAGGAGTAGCAAGAGGAAGATGGAGAGGGAGAGAGAGGGGAGGAGGCCTAAGGGCCGTATATTTATGTAAAATAGTGTAGAATAGTAAATGACACGCCTACGGGCAATGAACCTTGTTTATTTCTTGTAAAAACGTAGTTCTCTCATTTTCCAAGACTTTCCATGACTAACCAGGCTTGGTAACTGCAGTCGACGTAAGAGAATCCCATAGAACCATCTCCTAGGTTCCTAGCCTATAGGAAGTGAAAGGAGGTCCAAGGTCAGAGTACCCCTATAGACAGATTATGTCATAACTTAACCAATCTTGTAGGTAACTAAGGAGCGATGACGTGTAATGAATCATAGAGGGTTGTAGAAGCTTTTGGAGCTACCGTTCATGTTCCTAGGCCTCTAGTTGATAGAGATATGTCATGTGTAGTATTAGCCCAGTAACTAAGGAGTGATGTCATGTAATGAATCATAGAGGGTTGTAGAGATATGCTATGTGGTCATATTGGCCCAGTAACTAAGGAGCAATGACGTGTAATGAATCATAGAGGGTTGTAGCAATCGTTGAGTAGTATTGCTCTTGTTGTTGGTGTGACAAGCCAAAATGTGTATAGTGACTTGTAGGTTTGAGGAGGAGATTTCTAAGTTTGCTCTTGAGTTTGATAGGAAACTGAGTGCAACGAATGTCAGTATGACAAGGTTGCAGCCATAAGCGCTAGCCATAGCACTAGCATGCCATCTCCCACCATCTCCCACATTGGTGCGTCCATCTCCCTTGCTACATTATATCGTGACACCACGTTGCACAGCAACTGCTTAAGAAAAGTCGAATGAAATGCATTGGCCGGAGGAGGAATGGCGGCTTGTGTCATACTGACATTCGTTGCACTCAGTTTGCTATCAAACTCAAGAGCAAACTTAGAAATCTCCTCCTCAAACCTACAAGTCAACATACATATCTTGGCTTATCACATCAACAACAGAAGCAATACTACTCAACGATTGCTGCAAACTCTTCGACTACATCTGTTTATGCTACATACATCACGGCATATCATTTGGACACTCATTGAACAAGTTATTAAGAAAATCTCCTCCTTAAGGGGGTGGGCCAATACTACCACATGGCATATCTCTACCAACTAGAGGCCTAGGAAGATGAACGATAGCTCTAGAAGCTTCTACAACCCTCTATGATTCATTACACGTCATCGCTCCTTAGTTACCCACAAGATTGGTTAAGTTATGACATAATTTATCTATAGGTACTCTGACCTTGGACCTCCTTTTCACTTCCTATAGGCTAGGAACCCAAGAGATGGTTCTATGGGATTCTCTTACATTCGCTACATGATTAGCAAGCTAGTTGTGGGTCGCACTTGATTTCTAATACATTTACCAAGCCTGGTTAGTCATGGAAAGTCATGGAAAATGAGAGAACTACACTCCTTTGGCATAAATAGGATTGCCCTTTCCTTAAGAAAGGGCAAGCAGACAATACAGTAAATCGACTAGCACATACTTCTACGTCTTTTCCAAGCTTCCAAGCATTGATCTTGTTATTCTCTGTTTTTGAAAAGTCAGTGAGGTGCTAACCTCTGACTTACCCCTGAGTTCTCAGACTCAACATTTGTTGCAACTTGTCTAAACCACTTCACCACATCATACACCTGATTGCTGCGTTGTGGAATAGTCTAAGCTACAACCCTTTGGCTCTGTTTCCTAAGACAGTGTGTTGTCTTAGTAAATTCATCCCTTCCTTGGGTGGCTAGATTCTCATATCTGGTGCACCCACCATTACAGCTTGGCGATGACCGGAGAGCTATTTTGTGATTCTGTCAGTGCTCATTCGCAATTACAATGTCCCTGGGATTGTCTGTCATAATCGTGACACAGTAGATGATAGAACCCTGGGCCTCAGAAGAAGACTGGCGGCTTGACATGACGGGAAAGCTAATGTGTGTCAAGGGTTGCCAGTCACAATCATGACCAGCGCCCACGTCAGATCTGTGGTAAATGATACAGTCTACCAAGGCTCAAATCTCAGCAACCTTTATGGGTGCAACTATTCTCTCAAGAACTGTTGTATCTGCTATTTGCACTGTTACTAGTATCACGTGTTAGATATCACGCAACTGAACATACTGACAAGCAAAGCTTTTCCAGAACAGAACGCCTAATTGACCCTTGTCGAAATTCGGGTCTGAAAAGTGTAAATTACAAAGAAAACTTGAATATTATGAATATTATGAGTATTGTGCACCGGCGCCGTAGGCGCCAGTTTGTGACTTGTGTTAGGAAACGGGCTGGGAGTTGGAGAAACCCCGTGACTTTGGTACTGGGAATGCGGTAATCTCCACTGTAGGAGACAGTGTTCCCATGGTCCTCACTGGGGCAGAAGGTGAAAACTCTGCACCAAAATCAATGGGTTACTCGAGGGTTTCTGGGGTTATGGAAGGCTCTTCTAGGCCTATAAATGCTGCGTAGCCACATTAGAATAGAAAAGCAATTGAATTGATTACTGTATTACTATATACTGTACTGTGACCAGCTTCCGCATCACTCAGGGATTGTCATTTAGGGTACCGCACTACACCATACAAATTGGCTGTAGTCCACCGTACCATACGTGTAATTCCCAACAACTCAGCCTGCCGTAAGTGGTCATGTGACTTGGCATTCAGTCATGTGACATATGACGCGTCAATCCGTAGATATTTACCTGTAACCCCTCCACAGCTTCACTTTCCTACAACAACAACGGCTTCTGGCCTCAGTGAGGCTCCTCGAGGTAAGTATACCCCTTTCCTTTTGTTATTTGAATTGATTACTGTATGTATACTAACCTGTGAATAGAAGAAGAAGCTCCCGCTCCCGCTCCCGCTCCCGCTCCCACGACCGCCACCACGACGACCACGATGACCCCGACCCTGACTCCGACAACTCTGGATCTGCCTAGGGCTGCTGCTGCACCAACAGCCAGCAGTAAGTAACACCCCTCCCCCCTCTGACTGATAGATTGATACTAACGACTGGATAGATGAGCCTATGGGCGCCTCTCCACCGGCCCCGACCCCCCCCCAACCTCCAATACGGCCGCGTCTGCGACTCCGGGCCCTGTGCGCACCTCCTCGGTGACCGAATCTGCGGTGGGCCCATCCCCCGCAATGCCCGCATGCCCGACTACAGCCATAAATAAGTAACACCCTCCCCCGTCCGTGAACCGTCCGTAAACCGTTGTAGATTAATATAAATAGTATGTATAGGTCGCCCGCAAGGCCTGGTGCTCTAGTCCCTGACTCCCAGCCAGCAGATGGCGCTGCAGCTGCTGCGCTCTAGTCTCCTGGAGGAACCCCGTCACTCCCGCGCCCTCGCAGCTGTCGCCCTCCCTGACGCCTGCCACTTGGAATTTCACGCCCTCGACTCCTCCGACCCACCGAACCTCGTGAGGATGCAGAACCTCGAGGCGGCCATAGGGTTTACAGTCGGCGACCTTGTCCAGCCGCCATGTACTGACTGCGCGGCTGGATACAGCCAGTTTGCGGGGTGTGTCCGGGTGGAGGGACTCCTCCATGGGAGCTGCACCAACTGTCACTTCGGTGGCGAAGGCGCGTGCTGCTCGCTCCGTGGTAAGTGTTCTCTCTCCCTCTTGTTTTGGTTACTGTACTAACATGGATGGAATAGCTTCTGTGGTCCCCTTGGGGCCTGTTGGGTAGTCCTTCAGGACATTTAGGTAAGTCTCCTCCCACCCTTGTTGTTTGCGGTCCGTAACTAACTTGTACTTGTAGAAGGTCTAAGTGCCTGGCGCCCTGCTGCGTCTGCCGCCTCATGCGCCACCGAGGCGCTTATAGGTGGGGTGGTGTCATACTGACATTTGTTGCACTCAGTTTCCTATCAAACTCAAGAGCAAACTTAGAAATCTCCTCCTCAAACCTACAAGTCACTATACACATTTTGGCTTGTCACACCAACAACAAGAGCAATACTACTCAACGATTGCTACAACCCTCTATGATTCATTACACGTCATTGCTCCTTAGTTACTGGGCCAATATGACCACATAGCATATCTCTACAACCCTCTATGATTCATTACATGACATCACTCCTTAGTTACTGGGCTAATACTACATATGACATATCTCTATCAACTAGAGGCCTAGGAACATGAACGGTAGCTCCAAAAGCTTCTACAACCCTCTATGATTCATTACACGTCATCGCTCCTTAGTTACCTACAAGATTGGTTAAGTTATGACATAATCTGTCTATAGGGGTACTCTGACCTTGGACCTCCTTTCACTTCCTATAGGCTAGGAACCTAGGAGATGGTTCTATGGGATTCTCTTACGTCGACTGCAATTACCAAGCCTGGTTAGTCATGGAAAGTCTTGGAAAATGAGAGAACTACACTCCTTTAGCATAAATAGGATTGCCCTTTCCTTAAGAAAGGGCAAGCAGACAATACAGTAAATCGACTATCACATACTTCCACGTCTTTTCCAAGCTTCCAAGCATTGATCTTGTTACTCATTGTTTCTGAAAAGTCAGTGAGGTGCTAACCTCTGACTTATCCCTGAGTTCTCAGACTCAACATTTGTACAACTTGTCTAAACCACTCCACTACATCATACACTTGATTGCTGCGTTGTGGAATAGTCTAAGCTACGACCCTTTGGCTCTTTTTCCTAAGACAGTGTGTTGTCTTAGTAAAATCATCCCTTCCTTGGGTGGCTAGATTCTCACATCTGGTGCACCCACCATTACAAACCTCACGTGATGGATAACATTGGATATCATGGATATTATATTATCCATGTTATCCATGGCGATCCATGGATTGTCATGTGATGGATAACATTGGATATCTTGGATATTATGTTATCCATGTTATCCACGGGGATCCACAGGATATCAGGTGATGGATAACATTGGATATCATGGATATTATGTTATCCATGTTATCCACAGAGATCCCTTTGGCACGACGCCACTATATAAGTAGATAGTATTTCCTTAGATAGGAGCTTGGGCTCAACTCAATATAGTATTCTTTACAATATTGTAACGTGTTACTTGGAAAGCCTTTGTGTTTAATCCCCTGCCTCCTCTTTCAAGTCAACCTTACGCAAGAAACCTCTGTGTCTTCTATTATTTAGAAGTCAGCATTACACTTTGAGCACCACTTCCACAAGGTACCGGCTTACACACAAAGAAATATGGCTGGAGATGATACTGGATCAAACATTGGATCGAAGGGGAAGGTTGCTACTGAACCTACCATCAAAGCCCCACAGGCTCACCCCTCGGACAAGTTGAAGATTGCATTCCCAGACACCTTTCATGGGGATCGTAAGAAGCTCAAGAGCTTCATCATCCAGACGGAGCTATGGATGGCGTTTAACGCCAAACACTTCAACAAAGAAGTGGAACAGGTCCTATGGGCTGTGGCACTCTTTCGAGGACCAGCCTCAGAATGGATCTCCAACTACCTCGCCGACTACATGAACCATCGAACAGTTGAAGGAAAATGCAGCACCTTAGCTACCCAAGGAACGAAGGAAATTTTTGTATCCTGGGGTGGATTCCTTAAAAGGCTTAAGAAAAACTTCGGAGACATCGATGAACGACGGAATGCAGTCAGGGCACTCCAGGCTCTCAAGCAGAGAGGGTCAGCAGTTGCATACACCGCTGAGTTTCAACAGCATGCAACACTCACCAACTGGGCAGAAGAGGCTATCTGTGACCAATTCTACGCAGGTCTGAAAGACCATGTGAAGGATAAAATCTCAAGGTCTGACAAACCAGATGACCTTAGAGAGATGATTGAATTGGATCAGAAGATTGACAATCGTCACTATGAACGGCAACTCGAGAAGAAAGGGGGACGACCTAGTCAACACTGGACTCAGAAGAGAAGACAAACAAAGAGTTTTTGGCCCCAACCTATGGAAGTCAACGCTACTTTCAAGCCTAATGGCAAACCCCACAATCCCAACAAGGAGCAACAGTTCCAAAGGCAGATGTCAGCAGCAGAGCTGGACATACTGAAGGAATACATTGACAAGAACCTCACGAAAAGGTTCATCCGACCATCGACATCACCAGCAGGAAGTCCAATACTATTTGTGCCAAAGAAGGACAAGAAGCTAAGACTCTGCGTGGACTATCGAGAAACGAATAATGTCACTATCAAAGATAGATATGCTTTACCTTTGATAAATGAACTTGTAAGGATGCCTCCTTACCTAGATACTTGAAGAACCTGCCTCAGAGCTGTTACGGTCACTACAAGCATGAAATCTGACTCGGTGTGGTTTCGAACCAGTAGAGGAGCACATAGCGAGTTACGGCATGGGGGACTGTAAGGGTGTATGGTTCAGGGTCTGTAACAGTCGCACTCTAGCACCCCGTTACACCAAGGTCCTGTTACTAATGACATGATACTGTCTAGCATAACTATCACTTGATAGTTAATACCATGAAGGTGCTTATGGCTATAAAAGACAAGATGCTGTTCCTCTTGTCTTGTTAGTTGTTATAGGGGTGAAAGGTTCCATTAACGAAGCCCTAGATCCCCTCTACTCCTCCTATCTACTTAACAGCTGTTAAGAAGGCTTCTATATGCTTACATGTAAGCTGCGGATGCCACTTAAGTATAAAGGAAGGGTATTGTATCCATAAAGACAATACTCAACTAAGGCCTTGATCGACCAAAGAGTCTCTTAAGAGTCAACCATCTCCTAGGAAAGGCAAGCCACGTACAAAGGATATACAAGGCCAACTTAGGGGTTGGCTGAATGCCTCTTGACTAAGAGACATTACGAGGCAGAGGGGTAAGCTAGCGAATATCATTGTAGGATAAGCTTCTAGAGCTTAAGCATCAGTCAAGCTTTCAAGATGCCCTTGGCTGTCACAGCACATCTGTCACCATTCTTAACGATTCTAAGCTCTCTAAGCTGCTTTCTAGTGATACCGCAAGTGTATCTAGTATAGACTGGCCACGGTCCGGTCTGGTCCGGTCTTTTAATGTTGAGTGAGGACTGTTTTACGGTCCAGTCTTTTTTTTTAGGACTGGACCGTGAGACAAAAAGACTGGACTGATAACATTCTAGTCTTTTTTTTAGAGTGTAGACTGTTTGCTAAAGTTGAGGTCCCTTTAAAAGACCGGACTGATAATAGTCCAGTCTTTTTTTAGAGTGTGGACTGTTTGCGAAAATTGAGGACTGTTTAAAAGACTAGACCGTTCGGTCTTTCCTAAGAACAGTCCGGTCCAGTCCAGTCTTTTACATTATAAGTGGGGGCCACCACATGTCATCACATGATATGTTATTAGGAATAGCTTTAAGTGCAATCGAATATTAATAACGTTACTGTCACGACTGAAATACTAAAGACAGGTTGTGAAATCATCAATTGACTATTTATACAAGAACACACTAATTTATCTAATGCTGCGAGAATTGGTGAACCAGGACACAAGCTGCATATCCTTGTTCTGGATGGTGATACGCTTGGCGTGGATGGCGCACATGTTGGCCCCTTCGCACTATTAGTATAGTTTTTGTAGGTGTTCATAGAGACAGCTTACCTTCGAAGTATGACACAAGGTGGGCCTCAGCGGCCTCTTGGAGGGCACAGATGGCAGTAGACTGGAAGTGGAGGTCTGACATGAAGCTTTGCGCGACTTCACGAACAAGACGCTGGAATGGGAGTTTGGGGAGGATGAGGGCGGCCGACTTCTGGTAGTGTCGGATCTCGGCGACGATCCGTTCTTTCATATAAGTTAGTAGTGTGAACAATATTCTATTAGAAAAGAATAGCATACTGTTGACAGAAGCCTTGCTTAAAGGAGGGACAGGGCGAGGGGCTTGTTGTGGGAAGTTGGAGCCAGGGTGATCCCGCTCCCAGTTCCTTTTCTGGGCATTGTAGCTCCAGATCTTTTCTTGGCGGGCTCGGCGCGCAGTCTTGTGAATATCGACTGTTTGTTGAGTTAGTAACCTTGTATTGCTTGTAGGGTAGGGTGGAATACTTACTGTGGCGCTCAGGCTTTTGCTTGGTGCGAGCCATGGTACAGATGTGAGCGAGAGCGATATCTAAAACATGTTAATTTGCCATATTGTAGCAATTTGGCATTACTGCTGGGCGTTACTGTAGTTGTAACGCCCAAAGAACAAAAGGGGTGAACTTACAAAGGTTGGTGACAGAAGGAAAAATTGCTAGAACTTGTATATTAGTAAAATAAACACAATACCGTTACTCTACAGCGTTACTGTAGGGTTAAATCAAATGTAAAGAAGATTGAACTTACCAATGTTGCTAGACGCGTTATCTCAGAATTGTTGTAGAAGTTAGGATCAAATTCGAAGTAAGGGCGCTTAAGTGTTGTTGCAAACAAAAAAAACTCCGTTTCTTGTTCCAAATCTGGACGTGTCAATAACAAAGAATAGTACGAGTAAGTTAGCAAAGAAACCACCCTTACATTTGATTACCTCTGATTATTAACTTCCTTTTAGATTTCCAAATTTATTGACTATACCGACCCCGACCAGTAAGTAGTTGCGCCCCTACTTTCAAAAGACGTCCGCCTTGTTAGCACATTGAAGTACTCTCACAACAGTATAATCAAAGCCAGTGCTAACAGTAACGCCCTATAGTAACGCTCATCAGCTCCAAATTGCCTCTAACGCAACTTTACCATGTCGTCTCCAGCCAC